GGACTTTATTTTTTTTTCCTTTGGTGTGGTTTGCATTCATATTGTGCTTTTTGCAAGTGGACTATAATTTATAAACAAGCCCATGTAGGTGACTGTCATTGCTCCTGTTAGACAGAAATGAGGGGGGCAGGACAAAGCACAGACCTGTAAATAAAGATGGTGCTGTTCATACAACTGACTGTTAAGAATACCAAGAGCAGCTCACTCAGTGATGGTTTTGCGATGATATACTTATAATGTTACAGCATTGTCAAACGCGTGCCACAACATAAAGGAGACAAGATGCTCTCCGTTCCCTGACCCACAATGGCTTACTCTTTTTAGCGCAGTGTTAGCGTTAGCAACACTGAAGGGCTAATGTTGCTTAAAGGGGCAATATCATGTAAAATCAACTTTTTTGAGTTTTATATCATGTTATAATGTTATACTCTCATAAAAAAGCATGCCCAAAGCCTTGCTTTGACTCATTCATGCATGTTTGAGAAATCCTGCAGCGTTTTTAGGAAGCCATGCTGAGGAGCAAAACGACGATTCCTGCAGGCCCTCGGGTGAAAGTGAAACTTAAACTGTCTGCTGAGCTCTCAACATTAGTCCTCACTCAGTGAAGCTCTTTTCAGATTAAAAATACCTTTGAGGAAATGTATTTTCAGATGCCAAGTAAACTGCATCATAGCACACGCGCTATCCCCCGCGCACTGAAGCAGAAGGTTGTTCTTAAAGAGACAGAGGCCAATTTCAAGGCATTTTGACAAGGAAGTGATGAGAAGATGAGTTTATTTTCTATTTAAACATAAAACAGCATTTTAATAACAGCTAAAAGTGACATAGATACTTTATTATGGTATAGTATTTAAATGTATGCCTGAGAAACACATAATATTGGCCCTTTAAAAATGGTGGCTCATGAATTCCAAAAAGGCTCAAGTATCCTGTAGTTGGTTTGGTTCAAGACCGGTCTGTATTCACACCAGGGTTCACACCAGTGTATTCACACCGGCATAAAAAGGTCCAGACCAATGGGGGAAATGATTACTAGATGTTGGTGCCAAACAAAGATTTACAACTTACCGGTAGATCAAATCTGAAGTATATAACTTTAAACAACAAATATTCACTAACTGAATGTTTAACAATCTCCCAGAGAGTGTTTACATTATCATAAGTAGTCCTGAAAGCCATGTTTTACTTACACACTGCAGTAGGTTATTATAAATGCAATGGTTCATTTTGGTCTATTCTACTGAGACAAAATATTGCTTATCAAGGCAAAAAAAAAAAAAAACACCTTCCCACCATATCTATTACTTCGGCCTCGCTGGCGGTATCTGTTCAAGCTAATGGGATTTAAGGGGAGAGCTCTGGCCAGTGTCAAAGTCACCTCTGAGGAGAGTCCTGTGCCAAGAAGAGGGACAGTTGGGCGGTGGGAGGTGGGGAGGTGGGCAAACAGAAGACAAGGGGGAACAGCTGAGAGGGACAGGATGAAAGGGGAAAGTGTAGATGAAAAGATAAAGAGAGGGGAGCAGTCAAAGTGTGGAGAGTTAAGAAGAAAAACTCAGGATGCCAAAATTTACATTTGATGTCACTGTTACCGTAAAAAAATAAAAAGATTTTAGTACATTCAAATTTTGATTTTAAAAAATAATGAACCAAATAGACAGATGAGGAAGATCAGAACTGTCACTTTAAAATTCACTATTTTCCAGTTTCAAATGTAGCTGATTACATTGATTCATTGTTATAAATGTAATGAGCATAACCTGTGCTTGCTTTTAATTTTATTTTTAATTTTACTGTTTTCAACCAAAAGGAACCTGAATTAGAATTTGTTTAGACATTATTATTAACAATACTCAGATAATAAACACATTTTTGAATAATGCATTTTAGATGAAAACTAAAGCTTCAAAACAAGCTGAACTTTATTCATTATAATGTAATCTCTGCTTTATTTTGTCAATGAAAAAAAACAAAAATAGAAATTGGCTAGTGCAACTTCTCTGATAAAAACAAAAACTGATGTGACACACAACACAAACCAAAATGTATTTTTAATAAGAGCATAAACATAAATATGTTTTTTTACTTGATTTTAATTAACCTTTGAGAGTACTATGGTAGTTATTTGGTAAGAAAACAGTAACAACAAAAAAGTATCGGTTTCTCCTAGTTTCACTTCTGCATTTCTAACCATTATCAGCTTTAACACATTCATAATGCCTCTCCTGTATTTAGAGGGAAATTTTCCAGAATTACCACTAAGAATAACAAAACTCAGACTAACAATTATGACAAATGAGCTGTACTTATGTAATGTTTTATCAAGTACATGTGGACTGAAGTTTAGATCAGGCCTAAAAAAATCCAACCTGACACAAACCTGAAGACATTGTATCCGAACCCGATTCAACCCAATTATAAACTCTAATTAGAGGCCCGAGCCCAAAGTTATCCCAACATTTTTTAATTTACTTATGCGGGTTTAATGCGATCCCCATTTTTGAGCTTAAAAAGCCTCAAAAATGTGATTCTTGTATAAAATGCTGTCCTTAATTTTATATGGGTCTCAGCATTTATTGCCCCTACTGACACACCCGCCTGTGGCTGCAGAGTGAAGGCTGCAGAAGCTTTATGACACTGAAAACAGTCCAGTCCAGCCCGATCCGACAGCAGGAGCTGGTTGTTAAATTAGCAAGATGAGCAGCTTGGATGAGCTGACATGCACCTGATTTCGATGTCTTTTTTTTCATCTCTACCCCGTGGATAAATCACCAAGTTTTTTCCCCGCAACACAGAGTTCAATACAAGAAAATACTTACTGTATTTATTCATGTATAATTTGTATGTATAGCACTTCTTTGAGCTTAAAAAGCATTAAAAAATTTAATCCTCAAACTACCTCCAATTTCATACAGACTTCAAGATTTTTCAGCCTTTGCAGTCTTTATACATATCAGTAAAATTATCATTGGACTGTTCATATTATTTTAACATATGCACTAAAAGGTATTTTGACAACAAATATACAGTATATCAGCTGTAGCAGCATCATGTAAATTCTGGCATTTTACACATAGTCCACCAGGATGCGCCAACACAAAAGTCAGAGACTTCACATGAGATTTGGGCCATCTTGTGGGAGAAAAGCAGATTACTTCCTATTCACGAGCGCCCCCTCTGGTGGGGACACTTTTTTTTTCAGGGATACAAACTTTTTCAGAACACCGGTAGACTGCCGCCATTACAGACAAACATGTGTTTGTTGTTGTTAGAGGAGCGGCCCGGTCACACGCTGATGTCATTAGTTCGTTATCATTACTGAGGTGCAGGAATACCTTTCCCCCTTTTTTCACATCATGTCGCCTGCCTGGATCTGTTATCGCAATGAAGAATGAAGGAGTGTCAGAGGTAAGCTCATTTCAACTGCTTTTTACGACGCGGTCTCAGTCATATCTGAACTCAGGCATTTTGAGAATGAAGCCGATATTTCAGTTAAAATACATAAGCAAAAATATTTGTCCGAGTATAGTACTATCCCCCAACTATATGGATGATTTTATGGATTTAATTTTATGTATTATACTTGAATAAATACGGTACATTTATTGTGGTAAAACAAAATTGGTCAGAATTTACTCCTGTGTAATACAGCTCTGCAACTTTAAAGTTGATTTTTGGGTAAAATTTTTATACACGCCATGCTTTTGTTTTTAGAGCATCATTTCGTTCTTGGACCACCATAGTTTAAGCTCATCAGATAGGAGCGAGTTTTTAGTACGCTGAGCTTCACTTCTCCACTCTTCTCCATTCTTTTTTTAAACAGGGTAAACTTAGACTATAATAAGTAGATTAACTCAACTTTAGATAGTGCATTCTCCTCTGTGTTGTATGTATTGTAGGCTTATTAAAAATGCGTTGCAGACCCCTGAGCCCGGCCCGACTATCAAGCTATAATTTTGGCCCGAACCCGACTGGAATTCAGGCCAGGTCTGGTCTATAAATCAAAACTCTACTGCAAACTCCAAAACGCTTTACATTTCAATCATTCACAGATTCTTACACTGATGGTGGTAAGTTACATTGTAGCCACAGCTGCCAGAGGCACCACGGGACCTTCTGATCACCACCAGCAGGCAATGTGGTCTTATGGTATAAGAAATGTGGTCTTGTGCAAGGACACAACAACTGAGACAAATGGAACCACTTTGCCATGAAACCTGTTTCACCTGGCCTAAATGTAGGATTAAAATATACAAATGTCAAATGTTTTTTTTCTCTTCATCTTTAAAAAGGAACCTCTGTTGTGTCTTATCAGTTTCTCTAAAACCTCTTTGTCCAGTTTCATTTTAGGCTTTCAAATGTTAGTGAAAGAACATGTTTAGGTACTTTGTTGCATCATGAATTACAGGACATGCTGATTTAGTGAAACTCTTACAAACAAGAGAACAGTCCGATTTATGTCAAACACATGAATCAGTTCTGAACCAGATTTCAAATGGTTGACAAGAACAGTGCCAGAAACAAAATGCTGACTTCACTCTCAGGCAGATTTGCCATGTAACAGCTCCCAGACTTCACACCAGGTCAACAAATGGTCAGTTTCAGAACTTACTGAGGGTTTCCAAGCCTAAACATAAGGAAACACTGACAGAAAACAAGCAAAAGAGTTTAACACGAGTTGTTTTTTTGTATTTTTGCTGGTTTCTTTTCTCCTTTTGATCTCTTGCTTGTGTTCCTCCCGTACAACCTGAAACCATTCTGTTCTCTGGACCGTTTACAAGCAGCTTGTACTGCGACCTTCAGCTGTCACCAGTCAACAGGTGTTTGCATGCTTCTGCATACGTCCTGCAGTTCAACTGTGAGTCTGTTGCCACACATAAAATGTTCTAGAAGCAGGGGGACTGATATACTGTTATATGTGGGTGTTTGCATGTTTATTTGTGCCGACACAAGTCTCTTTTAGGAAATTATATAGCATGAAAAAAAGGACAAGATTTACTTACGAACTGGACTTGGGCATGCTCCATTTGAGTTCCCCAAATCTCCTCCAAGCAGAGCCCCTAAGGTAGGAAAAAAAACACATAAAACATGAAAACCATTAAAACAATCTCATGAACGAGTTTATCTGAGTAGCACTAATGTAAAAACTGATTATCATTCATTTTGAAAAATATCATTAAGTCAAGTATGTCATTATAAAAGTGCTTTTGCTATTGATGCTCATTTACTCTCTGAAGTACCTTGTAATTGGTTTCAATTCTGCATTTCCAGTTAATGTTTAGGAGCAGGTTTCATCAGTTCTCAATGGTACTTACATTACACTATGAGGGGTAAAACTGACATAAAAAAATCAAGTATTTAAAAATGCTAGTTAAAAGCAAATGATCTTCTTTAGATGTATAAATTAGTGATATTTATATTAACTTGTGTACGTACTAAAATCAAAGGGGCAATATTATGTAAAATGTCTATGTTTACCTATGAGAACGTTGGTTAATAAAGAAAGCAAAAAAAGAAAAATGTGATTTTGCCCCCGCCGGTGGGGGGGTGGAGCTCAAGAGGTTGCAAACTGTTTTATGGTATAGGAAATGTTTTATTAATAATAACGTTAAAAAGGAGCCCCAGTAATTAAAGAAACACTGACTTTGATGGGAATAACTGAAACTTTCAAGATATGCACTGTGTCGACCACAAATGGGAGATAAAAAACGCTGGTCGGCAAACACTGATTGGCTAAATGACATCTTCATTTCCAGTCTGACTTTAGTCAAATTTTTGCAACACTAAAATGATCTATGCTTCTAACCACATTCACAAATGTGAACTTAACCTGTTCTTTAATGGTTAAAAATCACCAAAGCCATCTTTAAACTTTTCAATTTGGTCTGATAGCTCTCAACATTATGACTTTTTTCAGTCTCAATAAGCACCTCACCAAGAGGAAAGAGAAAAATCCTTTTTAGATCTTTTGTGTCTACGGGATATTTTTCTAGACATCTGTCATAAAGATTTCTTCAGGTATACCATCCTGTTCTTCTTGTCAGAACTGCCGAAAGCCTTATGTTAGAAAATATATAAAAATACCAAAGCTTTAACATGTCACTGTAGATCGTCATGCTGTTTTCATTCATACAAAGAAAAAAAGGCCTCGCTTTTTAAACACAGTACAATGATAACGTCTTTGTATCTTTATTACACTAGGCATTTTGCTCACTTTGCCTCAATAGCAATGCCATTTACAGTGTTTCTTTGTTGGCGATTCTGTTTCATTTCTAAACTGCTCTTCGGAAAAGCTATAATAATAGGTCTTTATGGCTCTTTGAAAATACTAATGCTTGGAAAAACATCAATAAGCAAAATAATTTGCCCAAATCATTTTTTTGGTAATAAAAAACAGACGGCAGAGCAGAGAATTCTACCCGTAAAAAAGGTTGAGGAAATAAAGCGGGGAGCAGGGGCATTCATTATTGCTATACGGTAAACTCACACGCCTCGCATAAAGATATATTATGAAAGAAGCTGTAATGCATTTGTTGCACGTTACATCACCTAATTCTGACTTACAATGAGATTATGCCGGTCGGAACAAAGCTTGATAAGTAACCCTGTCTGAGACGCAAAAATGGGGCACAAATCCTTTTAGTCAGAGGGTGAAGGATTGGTTTGCCACACAGAGCAGTGTGTGCACGCAGGAGTGTAGCAGCTTGAGTCAAAGAAATGATGGATTTATGTTATTATGAGCTGTATGCACTTATTTGAGTGAGCGAGATCCCCAGACTGCGGGAGCACCGAGGCTGGAAACAACATCAATACACACACTTGCTTTTTTGGTCGTTTTGGTGCTTTTCAACAAAAAAGAAAAAAAAAAGATCTAAAAATCCCTGCTGTTACATAAACTGTGCTTCTACAGAAGGTGCACTTTATGAAAAAGGACTTTAAGTATCCACATCTCCATGACAACTGTGTCTGCAAAGGTGGCTCAAATCATTTCAATTACACACAAGTCATTTCGGAATCAGGACTTTGACGTGCAGATTGGTCTGCAAACTGATTGCTTTGGGCAGAAAATGTCAAAGGGAACCATTTAGATAATTATGACAACAAACTGTAGAAAAAGTAGGCGACACGTGGAAACTGCAGTTTAAATGGGAATTTGAGACTTTCGTTCACAGCACAGTGCAAACTGAAATTTGCTGAGTGTAACAATTCAGTCTTATTTTTATGTTCAAACTGAATGTTTTTATTATTAAACTGATAGTGTTGAGACATGACTAAAGTTATTCCTCTGAAAACAACACAACTGTATATGTGCTGTTTGATGGATGCTAAAAATGAGTACATTTGAAATCAGGGTTAGTAAATTTTTAACTAAAGTACACACGTGGAGAAATATGTTAGTACCCCTCATTTATTGAAAGAAAACCCACAATAGTCACAGAAATAACTAGAATCTGACAAAAGTAATAATAAATGCAAATTCTATGAAAATGAACAAATGAAAGTCAGACATTGATTTTCAGCTATGATTCAACATCATTTTTTTTTTTTATAAAACTCAGAAAACAGGCCTGAACAGAAATGATGGTACCCTGGAAAATAATGTGACCAAAGGGTCAAGTTAAATCAAGGTGTGTCCACTAATTAGCATCACAGGTGTCTACAATCATGACATCAGTCAGTGGGCTTGTATATAAAGGTACAGATACTCACTGAGCTGTTTGATGACATGGTGTGGACCACACTCAACATGGACGAGAGGAAGTGAAGGAAAGAGTTGTCTCAGGAGATTATAAAGAAAATTATAGACAGATATGTTAAAGGTAAAGGTTATAAGACCATCTCCAAGCAGGTTGATGTTCCTGTGACTACAGTTTCACATATTCAGAAATTTAAGATCCATGGGACTGTAGCCAACCTCCCTGGACGTGACTGCAGGAGGAAAACTGATGGCAAATCAAACAGACGGCTAATACGAATGGTAACAAGAGCCCAGAAAAACGTCGAAAGAGATTAAAGATGAACTTCAAGCTTAAGGAACATCAGTGTCAGATCAGACCATCCCTTGTTGTTTGAGCGAAAGTGGATTTAATGGGAGACGACCAATGAGGATACCAATTCATAAAAAAGCCTGACTGGAATTTGCCAAACTACACGTTGTCAAGCCACAAAGGTTCTGGGAGAATGTCCTCTGGACAGATGAGACAAAAATGAAACTTTTTGGCAAGGCACATCAGCTCTGTGTTCACAGAGGGGAAAATGAAGCATATGAAGAAAAACAAACACTGTCCCTACTGTGAAACAAGGAGGAGGCTCCATTATGTTCTGGGACTGCTTTACTGCATCTGACACAGGGTGTCTTGACTCTGTGCAGGGTACAATGAAATCTCAAGACTATCAAGGGATTCTAGAGAGAAATGTGCCGCTCAGTGTCAGAAAGCTTGGTCTCAGTCATAGCTCATGGGTTTTACAACAGGAAAATGACCCAAAACAGCTAAAAACACCCAAGAAGGGCTAAGAGAAAAACCTTGGACTATTCTGAAGTGGTCTTCTATGAGCCCTGATATAAATCCTATTGAGCATCTTTGGAAGGAGCTGAAACATCTGGAGCAGTTAGCTCATGAGGAGTGGGACAAGATACCTGCTGAAAGCTGCAGAAGTCTCGACAGTTACAGGAATCGTTTGATTGCAGTGATCGACTCAAAAGGTTGTGCAACAAAATATTAAGTTAAGGGTACCATCATGTCTGTCCAGGCCTGCTTCATGAGTTTTATTTTTTTATTTTTTATTCTGTTGAATCATAGTTGAAAAGTACGGAACCCGCGGGGGGTCAGTGGGAGAAAAAAAACAGCCGCTGGAAATCCGTGAGCACGGATTACTAAACTGAGCGAACGGATTACTAAACTGAGCGAACGGATTACTAAACTGAGCGAACGGATTACTAAACTGAGCGAACGGATTACTA